CTTAACCAACTGAGCCACCCAGGCGCCCCAATACTACATTCACTTAATTCTCCACATCCAAAGTACCTTTCTAAACCTAGCCAAACCCAACCAAGACCAATTCAAGTTCCACTTCTTCCTTGAAGCTTGACTACTCTAGGTTTCACTCATCTCTCCACTCAACTCTTTAACCACTTAATCATCCACAGCACAGAACTCAGTACAGGGGGTGATTTTTGAGTATTTTATGAATCCCCAAGATTGTATGGGATTGTTAAAACACCAAAATACCTATTTTTATATATTTTTAAAGATTTTATTTATTCATTTGAGAGAGAGAGAGAGAGAGTGAGAGAAAGCATGAGTGGGGAGGAGAGGAAGAAGCAGGCTCTCCCCTGAGCAGGGAGCCCGACGCCGGGGCTCGATCCCAGGACCTGAGCCGAAGGCAGACACTTAACCGACTGAGGCACCCAGGTGCCCCCAAAATATCTATTTTTAAATAGCAAAAAAGTCTCCATTCAGAGGCATCCCACTCTTGGTATCAGCTCAGGTCATGACCTCAGGGTCATGAGATCCAGCCATGAGTCATGGCTCCTCCAAGCACAGTGGGGAGTGTACTCGAGATTCTCTCTCTCTCCCTCTGTCCCTCCCCCCACCCGCCACCCCAGCAGGTGTGTGATCTCTCTATAACAAATAAATCTTTTTTTAAAAAGTCTCCAGGGGAGCCTGGGTGGCTCAGTCGGTTAAGCATCTGCCTTCAGCTCAGGTCATGATCCCCGGGGTCCTGGAATCGAGCCCTGACTCGGGCTCCCTGCTCAGCAGGGAGCCTACTTCTCTCTCTCTCTCTGCCCCCTGCTTGTGCTCTCGCTCTCTTTCAAATAAATAAAGTCTTTTAAAAAGTAAAAAATAAAAAAAGTCTCCACTGAAACATCTTCCTATGGACAATATAGTGTCTATCTCCACCTAATGAAAGAACTAATATTATACTGCCAATTACAGTTAAAACCGCAAACAAATCTGGTGAAAAGATGCTGTTTCTTTCTTTTTTTAAGATTTTATTTATTTATTAGACAGAGAGAGAGAGAGCAATACAAGCAGAGGGAGCAGCAGGCAGAGGGAGAGGGAGAAGCAGGCTCCCCACTGATCAGGGAGCCTGATGCGGGGCTCGATCCCAAGACCCCGGGACCACAACCCGAGCCAAAGGCAGATGCTTAACCGACTGAGTCACCCAGGCGCCCCAAGATGCTGTGTCTCTTAAAGTCAATGTAAATAAAGAAAAACCACTCTGATTATAGGCAAGGAAAGGATGATCTAGGTTGAGTACCTAGATGTAAACAAATGACAACCAGTAAACAAATGACAATGGACAATAATAGGACAGGAGCAATCCTGAAAATGAAAAGCAAAGCTGGGGGCGCCTACGTGGCTTAGTCACTGGGCGTCTGCCTTCAGCTCAAGTCATGATCCCAGGGTCCTGGGATCGAGCCCTGTGTCTGGCTCTCTGCTCTGCAGGAAGCCTGCTTCTCCCTCTCCCACTGCCCCTGCTTGTGTTCCCTCTCTTGCTGTGTCTCTCTCTGTCAAATAAATAAAATCTTTAAAAAAATAAATAAAATAAAATCCTAAGTAAACCCTTTTCTCCTTATTATGAAATTTTTGCCCCCATTGCAAGTGAATTCATTTTCAGTGATCTTCTTTAAATAAAGAGTATAATATGTACATCAGACGAGCCTGAGCTACCTACATCCTAAAAGTTTTGACAATCCCTAAATTCATGGATACCACCATAGTATAAAATCTCCATAAAATATGTAAGTAAGGGAAGAGTATAAAACAAGTAACTGCTACAAATCAGCCTAATGAGTAAACCAGGCCCAGCCAAGAGTGTCAGACAATCAGAAGTCCCTACAGAAAACCAAGAGTACTGAGATAATTCTGATTTCAAGGGTTTTAGTCTTGTCTCTAATAATCTCAAGTGCCTTGAAGAAGACCTATGTCATTTATGACATCTCTTTTTACTACAAGGCTATGAAGACCCAATGAGACAACACAGACCAAAGCACTTAATAAGCTGTAAGTTACTGCCTGTTTAAACTTGTAGCTCTGAGACCAACCTTCCTTCAATATTTCATTAAGCACCTATATATTACGAAGCACTGTACACTATATATGTTCAGTGGCAAGAATTAGAAGGTGCCAACCCAATTAAATATAAAAGCATCAAGTCAGGACAACTGACTATGACAATCATTTCACATCATTACATTCAAACAAAATAACTTAAAAGCATATAAGGGGGGAGCCTGAGTGGCTCAGGTGGTTAAGTGTCTGTCTTCGGCTCAGGACATGATCCTGGGGTCCTGGCATAGAGACCAGCGTCAGGGTTCCTGGTCAGCGGGGAGTCTGCTTCTCCCTCTGCCCCTCCCCTCCTACTTGTGCGCTCTCTCTCTCAAATAAATAAATAAAATCTTAAAAAAAAAGCACGTAAGGATAAACTGATGAGACTGCTTAGGCAAACAGTCTGCTTATAGCTAGATATACAAGACAACAGACAATATGATCTTGAATCATGTATCTTTCTCTAATTCTAGACAGGGAGTATATAATCCTAAGAACTACTCTTACTGTCACATAATAAGAGAATCTGATTCTATCGTAATATCACAGAACAAAAAGACAAATAGCATTTGCTAATGATTTTCTAAAATTTCCAGCCCTGAGGAGCCTGGGTGGCTCAGTCAGTTGAGAAACCAACTCTTGGTTTCAGTTCAGGTCATATCTCAGGTCCTGAGATCAAGCCGCGCATTGGGCTCCATTGCTCAGTGCTGAGTCTGCTTGGGATTTCTCTCCCTCTCCCTCCGCCCCTCTGCGCCTCTGCTCATGCGCTCACTTGTGCTCGCTCATGCTCTCTCTCTCTCAAAAAAATAAATCATAAAAAAGTAAAATTTCCCGCCCTGAGCATAGAATCTAATGCAGAGTAAGTGCTCTATACCTCATGTATCAACTGTGGTCTGTATGTATTAATAGTGTGTGATCATATAGAATTACTTTTAATTACACCTTTCCCAAGCTATATTGTTCAACTGAATTTGCATTCTCAGACTGATTTAACTTTTTCAAATCTTCAGTTAAAAAATATCAAAGGCAGGGGTGCCTGGGTGGCTCAGTTGGTTAAGTGGCTGCCTT